ACCACTTGGTTTTGTGATGGGAAATGAGGGTCCCACTTCTCCTTGCACCCTGAAAAAGCTCGGCATCTAAGAGCCAACCCTTTTAATATTATTCACCCCAATTGAAAGGCAAAAAGTAACTATTTTCCTAGTTCATTATTGACTTTCTCAGTGAGGATAATATTTACAAAACACTTTTTTTTCCCCTAAGATTTCAAGCAAGACTATTTGCAGAAAACATTTTACATTGTATTTGGACAAAAAAAGAAAGAATGTACTTCATGGTTTGCCTGGCTAATTGTAGTCAGGAAATTTGGTTTTACTCCCCAGTTCTGATTGTCAAATATTTGCAATGAATTTTAAAATAGTTAAAATTCCCATAGACTTACTGAATGAGTTCATGTTCAAGAATCATGTGCAGAAAAAGGATTTATGACTTTTTATATAAACCAATCAGTGACAAACTTTTCTCAGCTGTGTTCTATAGATAGCAAACTCAATTCCATTTTGATTTTATACCGCACTTTAATTCCCAGCACATCTAGGCGTGAGATCGGAATCCAGGCACAAATGCCAGCAGAAATCAGGAGGGAGGCAGATGTCATTCCCACCTACATGAGACATCTTTCACATTGGGAAAGTGGTCAAAGGACTCCAACCCACACTGCTGTAAAAACACCCTCCTTTTCTTCTTCTCACATCCTTAGTGTCAGCACAGGGACCCGTCGCGCTGAGAGCCCAGCGCTCTCCCACTCTGACCTGGACACCGTCCTGCAAAACGGCCTCCTCCAGAGCAACCTGACCGGCTTCTTCGTTCGAAGCGTCTCATTCAGTCTATAGTCTTTTAATGTGTTCCTATAGCACCCAATTTAACACATCAAAACAACATGCCTTTGAGCGCACATAATAGGCTAACTTACAACTGCAATTGCCTACAGTATAACCACTGTGATATTAAAGCTGTAATAAAGCTGTTTTAATAAAATGAAATGCAACCATTTTCAGAAACAAATACAGTGCTGGAGGAGGAAGAGAACAGACATATCAGAATATGTATTATCCTTTTCTGATATCTCTTTATTCTATAAAATATTGCACACATGAGTTACACAGGCTGGGATAATGAGAAATGTACATCTCTGCTTGGGATGTCTTTCAAAGCCATCATTCGTGAAATGTGTAACAAACAATCACAGAATAATAATTATTATATACCCTTGGAGAAATGAGACCAGACAGTTAAGTTTAGTCCACAATGTGTTTGAGAGGCAGTTCCTCTAAACAAAATTTGATCGTGTTGCAGGCAGTGTCCAATCAGTTATGGAATTTATGCTTTTAACATGCATTTTAAATGCAACTGTTAAACAGAGTCGCAGAAACATGAGAGGATTTCTGTGCTGTTTGGCTGATCAGATTTCACAATATGTCATCCAGGATAAAGTTCTGTACGTGCTGCAAATGCTCTAGGCAGGGGACTTGCAGAGGGAATGGGTACACCAAATGTGCTGCAAATCCTCCTCTTCTCCTCAGGGTTCTCATCCAGTGCCACTGACTGCAAGGCTTCCTCTGCCATCAGTGGGAATGGGAATCAAAGTGCCAAAAATGTTCATTTTTGATTCATCCTCTTTCTCTGCAGGAATTATAAATCCAAACTAAAGACTGCAAATTATTTTTTTCTCCAAACAACTTTTTGAGTAACAAATTTTCCTTTCTATTCTACTCTCTCACAATCTCTTTGTTTACTCCCATTCAAAATAATTTGAGTTATGCGATAGATATACAGAAAGTCTAGAAGTCTCTGGAGTAGCACACTGTACAACATACACTGAAGAAAGCAGAAGTCTCAAAGAAAAGGAGGAGAAAAGAAAGCTGTGAAAGAAGGCAAATCGTTAAAGCAATTCAACCTCCAGCTTTTAGCAAGCTGAAAAGTGTACAACAGGAGGAAACTCTCAGGGTAAAATCCAGCTACGCACCAAGGCAGCAGAAGGTCTGTCTACCATTTAATCCTCAAAGGACATCACCATTTAGGTGCTAAGCCCTCCTGCTGGATCACGACGCAAAAGTGATTATCATCCTTGGAGAGCATGCTGCAGAGAGATTCTCTGTGAGTCGATCTTGAAATGATCTCTTTCCTTTTATGACACAGGAAGCATTTTCCATCCCGACCTGCCGTCATTCACTACCACACATTTTAATGCATGCTTATAATGCAAAGGCTGGAATGCTTGATGAGGAAAACCAAATTTTCCACTCTTTTATAACTGCAGGCCCACCTTGACCTGAACATGGGGTCACTGAGAGAAGGATTTGAGCTAGGAAAGTGCAATGAAAAGGGCTACCCTTCTGAGTTTGTGGGAGTCCTTCTTTCACAAAGAAAGTGAGAGAAACTTCATAGCACATGGCATTACAGGCATCTAACTTCATTCGACATGAAAATGAGAAGAAAACCATGATCATGGTTTCAAAGCAGTCTAGCTGGGGGAAATGGAGAGCGAGCGACTGAAGCCAGCACTGGGATCCTAGAAGGCAGAGAGGCAGACTGTCCTTCAGACTGTAAATGGGGGTGTTTGTTCACAGTAGCACATGGTGCAGGTTTTACAACCTGTCCTGGTGCCCTTTGCTTGGTGTAAGATGCTTTCCACATTAGGAGGAGGTGCTGGGTACCTGGACCCACACCGCTACCCACATACAAGGTCTGACCCTGCCCTCTCTAAAGAGAGTGACAAAACCCCTGCTGCCGCGAACACTGCAAGGCTCTGGAATTTGCACCCTCCGTTTACAGAGATGGAGCAGCTGCTGGGCTGTGCACTGGGGCTCATCTCAGCAGAGGCTGCAGGCACCTCTGCTCAGCTGGGGATGCAGCGCACCCCCCATACCTCCAGACTCACCTCCTCACGCCTGCCACAGGGAGGACAGCCAGGTAGCTGAAAAAACCTGACAGAATTTAATGCTGAGGACTGTGAGGTGGTCATAATGTGGTAACAGGAGCCATGTAAGGATCTCCAGTAATTATTTTATTTAAATTGAGGGCTCTGGGGTTCTCAAGGAGGGGGGGGGGGGGGGGAGCGCCCAGACTTCGAGCATCCAGATCAGTAAACTGTTGTGTCATAGTAGCATGATGGTAGGACTGGTAGGACTGCTAAATGATTAAGACAGCACTGGTCATTTTGCACTCACTGTGCAGATATGCAAGCATTTTTAGCATTTTAATGTTTTGCAGCCCAAGCAGAGCTTCCTCTTTCTTCCCACTGTCTTGGGTAGTTGCGAGCTCTTTGCTTCAAGTGAAATTGGCACCAGTGGTCTGAAAACACTAAACTATGCTCTTTTGGCCATAACCAGAATGAACTATGGTTATTTAAAACAAAAAAAAAAAAAAAAAAAAAAAGATAACGTTATGATGTAGCAGAGATTAGCTCACATTATAGGAAAACAGTAGAGGAAGGTAGTTTTGTTCTTTGTAATGGTTAGCAGGGCTTTTCAAGCTTATTTTTCAGAAACCAAGGCTACTCCTGGTAGCCCTACAGATGGCTGCTCTCCACCGCTGTTTCTTGGATAGACTCAACCAGTGTGTCTCAGTTACGGAAGCCACACCAACTGCTCACTCACTGGTGCTCCTGCTCTGTGGGGATAATGCACATCCCTGCCTCCAGCTATATTTCGTAACAGCGATGAGGCTCTGGGACAACTGCTCCTCACCGCCCAAGGAACTAAAAGGTAAAACCTGTCCTCAGAGGCACACAATTTCTCTGAAGTATCCATTACAATGTGGAGAACTTTTAGCAGACATTTGGTGTTCGGAGGCGGGCTGTGGACCATATGTAACCAAGGCAGTCTCATCTTTGCCCTGCAGATGGACAGTCTGCAACACTTCGTGTGGAGTGTGAACTCCCCCTTTTTCCACCTTCTTCTAACTGGCAGGTTGTCTCTGAAGGCCACCGATGGCCAAGGTGGCCAGCAGATGTTGCAGTGGAGATTACAGGGGTTAGGAGCTGCTGTCAGGAAAGGAAAACCAGAAACAGGAGGCAAAGATAGGAGAGAAAAGGAGAGAAATAAGTAACATAACCTGCCACATTTCTGCAAGAGGGGCTGTGTTTCTCCCTGCTCTCGGCGCAGTGAGGACCATACTGAAGGCAGAGGCAAATAAATACTCCTTGGAGACCTACCAGGCGCAGGATCAGGCCTTTGTGCTGAATTTTTCCCTTGGCACCAAATGGATTTGTTGCAGGGGAAAGCAGAAAAGATGGGCTGCAATGCTTGAGGCAAGCTTTTGGGTGAGATCTTAACATCAGATGAACCTCACTGTGGACTTCCCACTTTTGAAAATGTAAGGCTCTGTGCTTGACAGGAGTTTGCTCATCCACGTAACACGAGATGCAGGTGGCTGCCAGTGGTCCTGCAGGCTCCTGTTTTGACTCTGTCAATGTTATGTTCATGAATGTCAAAGGGGAAGTGGAAGTTAAAAGGAAAAAGAAAGTGGCCTATGGCTTCAGAAACATCCTTTTTCTACAAAAGTAAGTTAGTATGCAAAATAAAATAGTAAAAAGTATCCCCAAAAAGATTGAATTCTGCAATCTTTTTTTTTTTTTAAATAATACTTGAAAACACATGAGGAAGGGAAGAAAAAGCTAAAAGCCAAGAGCGTAAATACAGAAGGACACGGAGGGACCTGTTAGGAAGGGAAGTGCCACCAGCAAAACATTGGTTTGTTTTCCCTGGGGAACTCTGTGCTCCTGGAAATGCCTAATATAGGTACGGAGTTAGCATGGCCAGCACCCTTGCCAACCCGAGGAGTCCAGGCTTGGTGGCCAGGGCTCAGCCCTCTCATTTGGGAGGTATAGTCCCACTAAGGAAGGTAAAGCCCACCGTAGGGGGGTGCAGTCCACACTTCTTGCTTGGCAGAGGGACAAGCTGTTTCTTGTTCCCCTAAAACAGGGCTTTGCATGGAGCCGCTGCTCGGGAGCCCGTGGGCCGGTCTGAGTCAGTCTGGACAGGTGGACATGGGGGACCCCCCAGCACACCCCTCAGACTGACGGAGTGGCCACGGCCCTCTCGTACATGCGCTCCAAGATGCGGTGGATGCTGGCAAAGCCTGGCCGGTCAGCAGGCAGCTTGCTCCAACAGAGGCGCATCAGGTTGTAGAGCTCCAGGGGACAATTGTCCGGGCAGGAGAGGACATTCCCATCCCTCACATAGTAGATGACCTCCTCATGAGCCATCCCATAGTAGGGCTGCATGCCATAGGTGAAGATCTCCCATAGCACCACCCCGTAGGCCCACACGTCAGACTCTGTGGTGTAGCGGTTGTAGAAAATGGACTCAGGGGGCATCCAGCGGATAGGGATGGCGTCGTTCTCATTTGCTTTGTAATAGTCGGCTGAATACATGTTCCTTGAGAGACCAAAATCAGCGATTTTGACCACCATGTTCTCCCCCACCAGGCAGTTTCTAGTAGCCAAATCACGGTGGACAAACTTGCGCTCAGAGAGGTACGCCATGCCGGCAGCCACCTGCTTGGCAATGCAGAGCTGGCTGGTGCAGCACAGCGCCAGGGGGTTGGGGAGGCGGATCCGTGCGTCCAGACTACTGTGCACCAGGCTGCAGAGGTTGCGGGGCGAGCGGTCACGCAGGTACTCGTTGAGATCCCCGTAGGCCATGTACTCGAACAGCAGGCACATCGGTTTCCCAACAGCACACACACCTGGAAGAAGATAGATGCACCACGCAGGTCATTTGAGTAGCAAAGACAGAGGGTTCTGTTGTGCAAAACCAAAAAAATCCAAAAATATTTACACAAAGAGGAGACTTTCAACAATGCATAAAGGGACAGAGAGAAAGGTGAAGCATGCAAATACCATCAAGTTTGCATGCATCCCTTTGTGTCTTTGAAGCTCCTTTAGCAGGGATCTAATGCTGAGCTCTGTGGGAGATGCTAACAAGTCATGCAGTTGCCTGATTTGTCTGGATATCCCAGGAAAAAGATACACTTAATTAATGTTTAATTAAGACCCCAATCCTGCTTAAGTTGGCATTAACAGAAGTATTGCCTCTTCCTTGGTGCAACTGGAAGGACATACTGTCAGGAAGTAAACTTTATAGTTCTGATCACAGTATTTTTTAATTCTTTTGTTTGTTGTAATTATTGTACTTATACTGTAATGGGTGTAGGGGCTACACATATGCAGGAAGACTTCAGAAGAAATCACAAAAGGCATGTCCAAGGGTTCAGTGGGATACTTCAAATGCAAAGACACTCCCACTACAACTTCTTCTTGCTTTTTCTTTTTTATTTAAGAGCTCATGCAAAAGATGTTGGTTACAGAAATTGCTTTTGCCATGACAGATACTCAAAAATGAAAGAAAGACAAAGAAAAAACAGATACCAGAAAGGAGAGATTTGTCATATCTGATGGATGCAGAACCTAGTCCCACTGAAGGGCACATGCTTGGCCCTACACCAGCTTTACTGGGGGCCAGCATCAGTACAGGACACCACTCCCACCAGTTTTACTCAGCATATGGTGATATGGCAAAAACATTTGTGTGCCTATTATTAAATTGCCAACCACCAAAAGCCAGCATTTAAAATGTATGTGTTTTTCTTTCTTAGGGCCATTATTTAGCAATTGGTGATCCAACTTATTGTGAAATCTGAAATTCTTGTTTATGACCTAACACTTGAATCTCTGAGGAGAAACAGATAGCTGTTCCCCATGTGATAAAATCAGGATCTGACAAGCATGAGGAGTGTATATGAGAGCTTTATCATCTAAGCTGTCTTCAACAACATGGCTGTTTTATCCACACGCCCATGATGTGAAACTAGTTTGTTCCTGCACCTTTGCCCTTTCCTGACCTAAAGTGTGTTGACAATAAACACAATGTTTATTTGAGTTTGGGGCATTTCCTGCTTTTTTGTTTCTGTAGCCAAAGTACTTGTATCAACCCAGATTTCCCCAAACTGGAATCTATCTATTTCCAAATTTTGTGGAACTTCCTATTGAAATTAATGAAGATCTCAGCTGCCTGTTCACAGGGATCAGACCTGCATACAACAACTTAGAGCAGGATTGCCAGGTGAAGGTGGCTAGCAACATCTACTTCAGTCAAAAACTGAAAATTTACTGAAATAAAATTTGGTCACCAGCTTTCTTCACAGAAGAATGCCCTATTAGCCAAGCTGCAGCATCAAGACTTTCTAAAAAACCCAATAAACCAGGGTTTCCTTTCAGCTGGGAAGGGAAGGAAGAGACCATTTTTGTGGTTAGCTTTTTTTGTTTATTTGTTTCATTTTGTTTTTTTTAGTGCTGGTGAGTGTTCAGACATCACAATAGTAAGTGGGACCCATAAAACTAACAAGACTTGTTCCTGTTTTTTTTAAGTACCCACAAAATAAATCACAGCTCCAGGAAGCTCGTGCCTTCCCTGTAAGACATCTGTGCCAATGTTATTAAGCCAGAAGCAGAGCTAGGCAGCAAGATGGTCAACAGTATACTCAATGCAGGACAAGGAGGGTTTACTATGATGCACCATCCTGTTAAGGCAACAGCATCAGACCTACATTTTGAGACTTGTTCTGGTGGGCAATTTAGCAGAGCATGCAGTGGCACATAGAAAAGCTCACCTCTTTTGCAAGAGGCATCTTCTGTTGCAAAAGACACCAGCATTGCCATTTGCATTAATTGCCGGTCATGCGAGTGTGTTCACCCCTGCACCCCCAACAACCCCACAGCAGATTTGCAGAAGGTGGTACCCTATGCATGGCACATCATTCAGATACCTAAAAGCTTGACGATATTCGGATTGTCAAACTCTGCCATGAGGGCTGCCTCCCTCTGAAAGTCAGCCTGCATGTCTGCGGACGCTTCCTCCTTCAGCATTTTCACCGCCACCATTGTGAAAGACTCGTACGGCAGCAGCCCTGGGGCCCTGCAGGGAGAGGGGAGAAAGGAAAGCATCAGTGATGGATGCATGCACACCAAATGTAGGCTCTGTTTCTGATGCAAAAGGATAGGCTGACAGAAAAAAGGAAAGAAGAAAAAAAAAGGTGGAAGGCCTCAGCACCGACTGAAGGAACATGAAAGACCATCTTCACCTCTCAGGCATGTTTGCATTGCATAGTACAGAGACATTTAATTTAGTTCATGGGGTACTAAATCCAGTATAGCTTTTTTTGATCACTGTTCTTTCTGCTTACAAACTCTTTACCATGACTGGTAAAGAGATAAATAAATAACAGGTTGGTAAGCAATAACGTCTCCCTGGGTTGGAGGTCACATCAAAAACTTCATGGAGCAGGATGGACTCCAATCCAACAATTTGCTTTTGGGGTGTAATGACTGAGCTTACCAGACATAACAATAAACCTATTTTATATGAAAATGTAGAAAGAGCCTCTTTTCACTGCATCTTGTCCCATACCTGGCACAATGGTGGCATTGGTACATCTGGCTACTATTAGAGTGAAAGTAACAATTACAGTATGTTCCCCTGGCTTTGTAAGGAAAATAGCCTTTTGCCACTGTTCTCTGTGTGTGTTTGTGTGTGGCATGTGCGTGTGCCTGTAGTTCAAGAAGTTATAAACCCATTAGCTAATTTCAGCTGAATTTAACACGGTGGAGCTGAGGTCTAGGAAATAGTTATGCTCCTGCAAGTTTTGTGGAAACAGGTGACAGGACAGAAGAGCCAAAGCCTACACGTGCCCTGCCTGAAGAACAAGGTAATGCGTGAATACACCCATGTTAAGACACTAGTGAATCTTCAGCTAGAGCTTAGAGACACAAATCCATAGGAAACAGAGCTTCCTGACTTAGAGCAACAGACTCATTTTGTTTTCTTATCCACAGGTCACCGCACCCTCAACAGGTTTAATTAGATGGGCTTGCCAAAGATTTAGGGGTAGCTGTTGCCAAAGAAGAGTAACTTTCCACTCTTCAAACATGCGTCAAACCTCAGACGTGCATTTTGTTGCCCACACTAATTCTTCCCAGGGGTCCTGCAGTTAAAACACACTCCTTACAGGTAGCCAGCCAGAGCCCATGGAGAGTGGTGCCCATTTATGTGTCATGTTACTATGCCGGCCCAACTGCTCTCCCATTGCTCAAATGCCAGGTTATTTTACTGCTCAGTAGCCCCAAGAGGAGGTTCCGATTTCCAAAGCAAACTTCCAATTTCCTTGTCATCTACTCCAGACATATGGCAGTTGCAACAGTTGCACTTGGATGCTGTAAATGTCAAATGTCAGAAGATGGCAGGGTGCCCATTGAGAAAGGAATCTCACAGGTGGCCAGATCACAGCTGAGACGCTCGGGCAAGGAGGTCTGGTGTGCCAGAGCAGAGAAGCAGACTCCACACTTGTCTACTACTGCTTCCATTATAGCAAAATGTCTTCCTTTTCTTCCCTTGTGCTGGCAGCAAGATTCCAGTCTAGTAGGAGGGGAGAAGTACCAGCACCTACCAGCTGCTGTCTAATCTCAGTGCTCGAGAAAGTCAGCAGCAACAACCTGAAGAAACCAGTGGAGCATTTAAAAGTAAAAAGAGGAGGTCCTTTATCTCTTCCAAACAGCCTCATTGCAGATTACCACTCATCACTGGCTGGCAGACCTAGTGCAGTGCCAAAGCAGGGGCAGGCACAGCTCCATCTTGCATACTTCAGAGCGAGAAACTCACCCCAGGCTAAAGCCTGAAGTACACCCATCCATCTACTCTTCACTGAAATCCTGTAATGTAAACTAACGTAAATGTAACTTAAGTGAGATTAAGCCGCACAAAGCCTTTTAATGGGCCTTCAGGCAACAGAAAGTAATTTCACCCTTGGTAACTCATGTGCTACTTCAGCCCATTTCTTAGCAGACCTGGGAAAATCATACTGATCTGGAACAGAGACAAACTCTTTTTGCAGTCTTGGCAGAGAGCTGTTGAAGTTGACCCCTTTGGTGCCCAAAAGACAGTCTTTGCACAAAGGGATAGAGGCACATCTGCAGGGGAGCAACGGGAAGCTGCTGCTTCTGAAATTGACCAAGACAATTCAGGTGGCAGGCCAGAACATGGAGTGTTTTCTAGAAAATAGGTAAATTTCTTCTAGAACTGGGGAGCATCAACAGAAAGTACCTTGGGTTTCCTCTCTCCTGATGAAATGCTTAGGAGAAATGTCCACTCTTTGCACACAGGAGGGACAGCAGCTGTCCTCTCCTTCTTCACCATCAATGGATTTGTGCAACACTGGTAGCATTTTGCTTTTAGGTACCTGCCGTTCAAAGAACTAACTAGCGGTGCAGTTAGGGATTCTGCCTCGAGCCTACCTACAGAGAGTGCCTGGCTTTAAGTTTCCAGTCAGGTTTTCTTTCCAGAGCAGTAACTGTGAAAAAACTAAGGAGCAGCTTGAACCTGTATTTGAGATTGTGTCCTGTCCCCCATCTTCCTCAGCATCACAGCTGGGTAGCTTCTGTTAGATCATTAAATGATGCAATTAACATCTACTGAGGCTGGTGGAGAACTATCTTTACCCTATCCTTTGGATAAATTTGTACATGGGCTGGAGAGTACTCTGAATTGGCAGGGGCTCGTTTTGCTGTGGTTTTTTTTAATTAACATCCACACGGTTTTTCAGCTATATTTGAGACAGCAGGTCAAAAAAACACCCTTTGCACTTGGAAAGAACATGAGGAGACTTCTGTCAGAGAAACTCCAACCTTAGGGACAGCCTTGTCTCTTTTGCAGAGATGACAAGCTGTGCCCTTGCAGTGGGGGTGTACTGGCCTGCTAGCAAAGACCCCACATCCAGGCTTTTAGGCAATTCTGCGTTTCAGGCTTAGCCTGGACCATGCAGCTCCAGCTCTGGAAGAAAACTTCCATGCTGGTCTGTGTTGAACCACACAGGGCTGGTGTTCTGGTGGCCCGTGGGGCCAGTGTGGTCCTCCTGGGACAGAGGATCCTGAGTTGGCCATCATGACCCAGTTGGGACAGATCTTAGCCAGGTCCTGAATCGTGTCTTAAGGACATCTGTTAGGGTAACTGGTTACTTCCTCATCCTTTCCAGTGTGAAGCTGCCCCTGTGAAGACGGCAGCCTTTCAGGAGAAGCTAGTAAATGATAGCCAGACGCTTCCTGTCCTAACATGTTGCTTGACCCAGGAATGAGTAAACACTGAATCAGGACTCACAGCAAGCCAGCTGGCAAAGGCATCGCTGGCACTGTGCGCAGAGCTGTGTTTACAGGAGAGAGAGAAACATGAGACCAGGAGAAGTAGGAGGGCTGCTAAACTTAGCTCGAGATGTCCATTTAACACACGTAGACAAGTACATTTTATCCATCTGAGATGGGAAGGCAATGATTTGAGTTGTGATAGCTTCGGTAACCTGGAGGGATGCACAGCTGGCGCTACTGGATCAGCAGTCTGCGCTGATCTGCCAGTGGTGCACAGAAATGCCAGTGGCTTAAATATTCCCTGGAAATATAAGGCCTTGGAGGGATTTTGATAGAGATATTAATAAAAACAAGGAAGCCCCTCAGAAGCAATATTTCTGTGGCTCCTTCCCTGAGCCACAGAGAGCAGGCATTTTGCAGGGTATGGTACTCCCCACTTCGCAAATGCTGGCTAAGAAGATGTGTTCCTTTTTTTTTTTTTTCCCCTTCTCTTTTCTCCCAGTTTCCACTGACAATAACAAAAAGTTTTAATTAAAAGAAATTGCAGCACTGGGGTGGGTGAAAGCTGCATAAAAAATCTCTACACCACTTTAACACTTGCTTAACCCAGCACTTTAGTGACATTTGAAAGCCCTTTGAGAGGTCCTGCTCGATGTGGGTGAGAGTCTTTTCCAACTCAGAAAGGTCTGTGCAGCACTTAAATTATATTTAAGCTCCCAGCCCAGGGCCAAAGCAGCACTTGGCAGGAAGACCACCTGCCCTGCTTCTGCACCCGCAGCGTAGTGAAGACCCCAGCCGCGTGAGTGGAAGGCGATACTCTGCAGGGCATCTGAAGAACTGTGCTGAGGCTGGGACAAGGGCTGCCCCATGCCCCTGTGCTGGCTGGTGCCTGGCCCCCCAAGCACAGCTGTGGCACAGTTCCTACAGCCTTGTTCTCCTTTCAAGCTCAGATGCATTTGGCTTTGCCATCCAGGCTAACAATCAATCACAGGCTAAGCATCTGTGATTTTCCCACTGCACACCCTTCAAACTTTGTTAATTTTAGCACTCTCTGTATTAAAGACAAGTAAGCCTGCATTTCTTCCATTAGAAAAAATGCATCCCTTCATTAGAAAAAAAATCCATCACAGCTATTGAAACTGTTTCCCTGCTCTAACACACTTAACCTGCACGTAACTCATTTCCTAGCAGATACATCAACAGCATAACTATAAACATTAAAAGTATCTGCAATTATGACTGCATTTTGCAAGGAGAGTCCTTTGTCTTTGAAGTCAATGGGAGCAGTCCCACCAGGCAGGTCTTGGCCTGGGGTGGGACACTGATACTCCCCTGTTTTTTTTAAGGTCATCATACACTACTCCAGATACAGCTACAAAATCAGCCACATCCCAGACTTGTTAACTGTAAAGGGCAAAGAAAACTATCCTGAGTAAACATGGAACTGGACAGTCTATCTAGTTTCTTTCAGGAATTTGGGGATGGGATTTTCTGAGGAGACCAATACTGGCCAAAGACTGTTCTGCAGAAATTACGGACTCTGTCAAGGCTAACAAGATGCTCTCCATCCACCTCGGTCTAGGAAGGACTGGGTTAATCTCTGGGTTTTTCAGTGAAACATTTTTCACATTTGAAGAAGTGCATGATCTCACCTCCTGTGAGATTTAACAGAACCAGGATCTCATCTAATACCTTAAATTTAAAACAGGCAAAAATGGCTGCAAATTCCAAGAATAAAAAGTGAGTAACTAAAGGGGACACACACACACAAAAATATTGGCCTAAGTGGGTTGGATTTTTAGGGGATTTTTGGTTTGGTTTGGTTGTGCCACTGAATCAAATGGAAACTGGATTCCAGATACAAGACCTAACTGTAGCATGACACATTGCCCTCTGTGGTAATTACTGGCCAGTGTTGGCATTATAATGGAGGACACCACACACTGACAGTTTGCAAAAACTGGGAAATGCAAGAATTTCACAATAGGTCACATATCATAGGCAATACTCTTGGCAAAAACAGTGATGATAAATTTAGCTAAGCTTTTACACCAGACTTTGGTATGTGAGTAAGACATTGCATCCACTAGAGAGAAGAACAGGAGAGCCATTTGTGGCAAAAGTTTAACAAATATCAACAGAAAGCAGTGAACAGAAACAATTATTCAAGCCTGAGTGTACTATTTGGTACACATGCATTTGATTTTGGTTTGAGTGAATGAATTTTCAGTGCCCAGATAAGTGGTTGCCCAACTGCCAATTTCTCCCAGGTACCTCCAGATAGAGAGGACTCACACAGGCAGCTTACCTTGCTTGGAAGACTCTCCCAAATGCTCCTTCCCCGATATCTCTCACATATTCAATATTGTTCCTGGGATACTCCAGACTGAGCAATTTTGGATTGAGGAGAAGGGGCATCCGCTGGTACATCGGGTTGGGATGCAGCCGGTCCAGGAGGAGTTCGGAGGGCAGAGTGGTGAGCGTCGGTGTCTCTGACTCCCTGAAACAACAGAGAAGTTTTCAGTCAGTGTCTGCACAGCCCTCAACCAGGAGATAACTAGCTGCATCTCTGCTGGGGCTGGTTTCTTCCAGGACGGAAAAGGGAGGTGCAGCAGGGCTGTTGAAAGAGCCTTGCAGCAAGGTGTCATGCCATGTCCCCAAAACCGCCAGGCCAGATTCTGCTCTGGCACAGGGACTCGCCAGAGCTTGCACTGGGATGCCACAGGCAAAGGGAGAGCTGCTCCCCCAGTACCAGGCCTTCGCAGGGCAGAAGCAGGCAAGCCCTCTTTCAAAGCAGCATTTGTTGCCGAGCTTTACCTTTTTTTGTTTTTCCACTGCTTTCGCCGACGGCAGCAAACCAGGGTGACAATGCCAAGGATCGCCACCAGGGCAAAGCTGGAGATGATTGAGATGATAACAGTCATGGAGTATGTAGGGGAAAAGGGAGGAGGAGGGGGGAGATCTGGAGTCTCTCCATTTGGTTTTCTTGTTCCTAGTGATAACGATGCTGTAATGCAAACAAAATCAGAAGGTTATGCCTCTGCTAGTTATAGGGCTTTCTCCAAGAGGTATTTACAGAGTCAGCCTGAAGTCCTGGGAATTACTGACATTACAGATAGAACTGTATGACTGCATGAGAGGACCATACTAGGGAAGCCTGGTTTGCAGGAAGCAAAACCCATTTCTGCTTGCCAAATGTGAAAACCCAGGATCTGGTAAAGGCCAAGACACAGTTGAGCTGGGAACACAGTTTTAGTAAGGAATGTTTGCACGAGTTACAGATGGGAGATCACATCTGATGTTCTCAACAGTATTCAAATATAGTAATGGCTGCAGTGGGAAAGATCAATGGTCTACAATGTGGACCACAATGTATCACGTATCCTAAAAGGAATCTGCAGGGAGGAGCGTAAGACAAAGTAAGTACCCAGTGATATTTTCCTGCAATATCCCCTTGGCTCCAACAATCTGCATCTCAGTGTCTTCATGGGGCAAATACGGTAAATTTGTGTAAAGTACATTTGGCTGTATCATTAGGAAAAAAAAATAATATTCAGGTAGCCACCTGCTGAGTACTTTCCAAGACATTCTAGAAAATGCTAATCTGTGCATGCAATGATTAAGAACAGAAAGGAATTTAAACTGTTCTTTTTAAGGCCAGTTAACCGTTACTGACTTGTGTTCCCTTAAGTCCACAGCACCCCTGTTCTTTGTGCAAGCAGAATTGTCTTAATTCCAAACACTGAGATCCAGAAACTGTGCATCTTGGATGAAATATGTTTCAAAAATTGTTCTGTTCTTGAACAAGAAATAACAGAGTCTTAGTTTCAACATCACAGAGCAAAAATGTTTCTATCTTTTTCAGATTTGTTTTTAGTTAGAATTGTTTTTTATTATTGAAAAAAATCACCAGAAGCAAAACAACTTTGGCAAATATGCCTGAAACCCTACCTACTCCCCAAAACACAGTGTGGCAAATCCATTTCTCATAATAGCATAGGAAATTTGATTTCATCCTTTGGTCTTAAGATAATCTGGAGCAAGGTGCTCAATTTGCCTATCTTCATTTTCCCATCTTTAAGGTGCATGTTAAACCTTCTGGTTAAAGATGCTGAGTGAATCTATGAGAAGAACAAGGGCTGGCCGAGTCCAGAACAGATCGGTACAGCCGTGAGCACTCAGGATGCAAACTCCTTCCATGGCCCCAAAACAACCACAGTGACAGAAATCATAAATTACAGTTGCCTACCATCTCCACAGGGAGACACACTGCAGTATTCCCAGGTCACGGATGGGTCTTTTGTGTAGCACCAGGGACGTTCATTCTCACCTCCTGGATTGCGGCAGTAATTCTCAGCATCAGACAGCTCAGGGAAAACCTGAGGAGTCCTCCTGTGCAAATGGGGCGCCTTGAAGGAGGAAACAAATTAGATTAGTGTTTCAGTATAATTTTTCCTGCTGGTATTAGCAAAACAAAACCAAACAAAACAAAGGAGCAAAGAAAGACAGAGGTAAAACAGCCTTTCAGTAGCCTGCCAGAATGACAGAGAACGCATCTTGCCACGGGAAGGGGAACTTGCAGATTAAAATATGAAGAGGGTGTGAAACACCAGTGAACTCAAGAATGAAGGCAACCTGTCCCCTGCTCAGCCCTTCTACTGGGACTGGGCTGCCCGGCTCTTTGGAAAAGCAGACCTCAAGCATGGCTCTCTGTTCGGTGGGTCTCACACTGATGCGCACCTGGTCGCTCCACTTCTGGCAAGACGTGGTTGCCCACCTCGCCGCTCCCCCTGTGGAAAGGAATCCCGAAAGCCGTGACGTTGGCCCAGCCCTGGTAAAACTGGCCATTGCCGCTGTAGCAAGTCCCTGGGGAAAAAAAAACACCTCCTGCAGCAGGAACTCACAAGAGTAAACTTCATGTCACTACCTGAGAGCATGTGGCAATTAGCAACAGATCTGAAGCACATGAAAGGACCAGACAACTGCAGGCAGGGAACTCCTTAGCCTCCTCCTAAATGGATTTTGAGCTTAATACATAAGATCCAATGTGGTAAAACTTCAAAGAGGGAACTCAGATTGAGTTTCTCAACTCTTTCAGATTGAGAAAATGGGCCATGCACCTGTGATGTTTGCACTGCAGGTACCCAGTTCACAGCGTTTCCACGCAGAAAGTGCAGAGCAGAACCACGGTGAAGCCACCCATGCCAAACCAAAGCAGAAGGCAAATTGCAGCACTGGTTGCATGATTCCCAGCCTACACTCCTACAGGGGCACTAACAGGAAGACACCCATGCTCTTGGGGTAGGTAGCAGAGGACTGGGATTCATAAAGTCCCACAGTGCGATCCCTCCTCCCTGGCTCTGTACAGTGCTTGTCCTCTTAGACTGAATGCTTGGAAACAGCCTATGGTTTCCAGCATGTATGGAAACCACACACAGAAGGCAATTACAGTTCTGAAGGAATAGTATCAGTATAAAATGTTCTTTACAGTGAAGAATGTGTAGTTCACTTTCCATACACAAGGCTTACTCCAGCTGCAGAAAAATTAAGCAGAAAATCTTGAGAGGACTTTTACTGCAGGAATATCTTCCCAAAACATAAATGTAGACACCACCTGTCCTCATAAGAGACTTCAATGCATGCTGGCATAATCTAGGAAGCAGGAAGACAACAGAGGAGATACTGCCTTACACACTTCAACACATGCTAGCTAATCTTATGTAAACTCTGCTGACCAGGGGCTAACATTCTGGCTGATGGCATGCATCAGGGTCCACTGCATTATTAACTTTGTTGGATAAATTATCAAGCCAGCAAACACTGTTGTCATAATTTTCTTTTCTATTGTGTTCTTAAACTTGCAGCTCAGAAAAAAAAAAAAAAACAGGAGGAAACCTGACCTGTTCTAATATAAAGATTTTTTTAAGCAAATCTTTTTCAGCTTCATGAAAGCTTTGTATAAGTTTTGATCCAAGTTTGAGACAAAGGCCATGTGTTTTAATTTATCCTTGCGGATTGTCCTATTTCTCCTGTAGGAGGAACATAGTAAATGCATCACGATGACTACCTGCTCTTTTCTTCTTGCATCACCCACTGCACTCAGGATTACAGTTATGGGTCTTTTATAGACCCTTAGCTTTCTGAACTTTCACCAGGCACCAGGCACTACACATGAGTAGGTCGAAACACCACCATGACAATGTTTGCTCCAGGTGAGTGAGCTTGAACACAGGATCAAGTTCCTATAGCCTAAGGCACGCAAACACCTCAGTATAGGAATGGCCGTGGACTTCATGAGCACACTTAACCCATCACAAATGCAAAGCAAAATGCTCTAACTTGGACTTCTTTGGTTGATATGTGAGCTACCATGTTATGTCTCACACCTGCAACCAGCTAGCAGCCCCAACATGACCAGCACCTGTAGCTCTGCAGAGGTGTAAAATCTTGTTAAGCTGCCCTAGAACACAGTTGTGTGTCTGAGCCCAGCATTTTAAATGCCTCGCATTCAAAGGCAAGGAAAGCAATGCCTGAAACCTGCCTCATGACTGAGCTAGTAACCAACATGAAAAAAATTTTTGCGCAGATCTAACATAAACATCAGTGTGACACCTTAGAGGAGCAATGTGTAGAGCTTTAGGGGCAACAGCAACACTAAGGAAGCACCCCTGGGTCCTTGGTGGCTTGGAAAATGCAGGTGCTCTCATGCGCAGTCTTGCTACAATGAGGACAGAGGGAATAATAAAGGTGGTCCAACTGGGCTTTAATGAAAAACTTTGATGGGCAAGCTAGAAAACAGTTCAGTTCATGCTTCCCAAACCTCTGTGCAATTAACAGTGACTCTAAAGTAAAAAAGAGGGGGAGGGGGCACTATCGCTAAAATGTTACTGTTATGTCTCCTTGATTCATGACCAAATAGTACATATCTGTGGAATGCCACCCTGGGAAAATACTGTGAAAGCTGAAGAAAAAGGTCACACGTTTACACAGGAGACAGATGCCATGTCCTAAACTTGCAAACATCCAAGAGGGGGCTGAAATCATCCCATGAACGCACCACTCATTTGCTGGCATCCCTCCCTCGTGCTCCTTTCCCCAGGAAGGGGATGGCTGCAGCTGCAGGCTGTAAGCATTGGGCAGTGATGCTGGAGCACCCACAGGGTGCTAAGGCGCTTGTCTCCCAGGTGTGCAGCGCCGGACGCCTGGGGCTTGGGTGGCTGGGTGGAGCTGAGGCCTTCCCATGAAAGACAAATTCCCCATCTTGATTTCACCTTTTTCACTTTCTCTCTCCACGCAGAAGGTGCCTGCCTGCCACTGCCAAATCTGCAGACCTCATCTGCTCAGAAGCATGGCAGGAGGGAGGCACTGTTCTTCCTTTTTCCAATGGGACAAGTTCAGTGGCTGAGCTTTAAACTGCAGTTGCATGTCAGTTGGAGGGGCTGCATGTGCATGTTTCAGCTGTGACCAGCAGCAGGGCGGGAGACCGACAGAAGTCACAGCAGCACCGAGGGGGATGGCTGGGCCTC